CAACTGGTGAAGAGAAGCGGTTACCAGCTCTGACTCCGGGTCAACGAGACCTGGATTTGAGTCTGACAAGAACAGGAAATGGCCAATATAAATTGTCAGAGCCTAAAAAACAAGCTGCAGTGCTGTGTACAGCATTTACGGCGCTTGTAGAGTGAATGGTACCCAGTGGGGCCTCATAAGTGGTTTGAAATTCCGCTGAGCTTGTACTGCGTGCCAGGCTCTGTCCTTCACCACTGTTACCTCATGGAATCCTGACAGCAGCCTCATGAAGCAGGTTTCTGGGTTTTTATAAATAGGCAAACTGAAGCACAGAGAGGTCAACAAGGACAGGCTCCAAGATCTGATCCTGGGTGGGCTCCTTTTCTACAGTATCAGCCTGCCCTTCCTACTCCTGCCTGTGTGGTTGGATCTTGAATTCATGAAAGACAGCGGATGATGGTGCAGACATACTCAGCCCTAGCCCACTCGGAAAAGAATCGGCAGCTGATGGCTTACATGAAATCCATTTGAAACCAGGCTCTCTGCCCTCAGTATGAAAATAAATACCTTCTTGGAAAAGGCTGTCAGAGACCTTGATTGTAGATACAAACTTGCAGACTCAGAAGCCCCTTTGAGTTTCTTTTCATGGGCTTACAGCTGATAAGCTTAAAGCCAGTTCCTCCACTGACCAATTTCCAAATGCTAAATGTTGGCTTCTTTTTAACTATTTACAAGGTTTACAACAATGCATGTTGGATGAGGTTTTTAAGAGCAGTTTTCTACAACTGTTGTGAAGTTAGAGTAACTTATTTTTGTTTTTCTTCATAGCCAGATATTGAGGAAGGTTCAATGTTTTGTCCCCAGAACACTGTTCTTGCACGGAGAGGCCGAGTTGCAGAGAGGGGAGAAACAGAGCTAAAGAGGCTGCAAGTGAAGAGGGGAAAACCAGGGGCAGAAATAAAAGGAAACTAGGAGAGGAGGTTGCGGAGGGGGGCGGTTGGAGAGGAAGGACTGAAGGGAAGGGTTGAGGGACAGCAAGGGACAGAAGGGGGGGATAATGTGTAGAAGGATAGAGATGGGGAGACGTTAAGGGGCAGAGAGATGGAGATGTTTGGGGGAGACGAGGTGAGAAACTGAAGAATGAGAAAGGTGACAAAGTGTGTAAACCAAGTGGATAATACTAACACACGTGAGAAAAATCTACATCCAAGGACATAGTCTTCATTAATGGATTCATATGTTAAGTATATTCAAAAGAAGAATAAGTCATCCTTAGTTTTTGATAAAGAGAAAATGCTTTCAAACACTTTTCTGGAGACAACATGAAAACCAGTTAACTACAGCATCCCATAAATCTGTACAAGCTTGTGAAGCCATTCCATCCAATAGAAATTGCTATAAAACCTTAGAAGTCGGTAAGTTAGTGTTAACTGGAAAACTGGGTTCCCTTCTTGGTGGGTGTGGAGCAAAAGACACAATCAAGTCAAAGAGCTGGAGAAGGAAGGATTTATTGCAGCAAATAAGGAGAAACCGGGGATCTTTCCCAAAGCAGGGTCTCCCCAGGCAGCAAAACTGGGAAAGTTTTAAGCTAAGAGTACATGCATATTCATGAAGGCGCTTGGGTGTGGATCAAAGTCACAAGGGTCAGAAAAGTCAACATTATCTACCTTAGGTTCCAGCTAACCGAGTGGTTGAGCACCCGAGGAAGGTTTAAATTCTGCAAAACAGCTCCAGAAAGTGTTTCACACTAGCCTTTACCATGGAAACACAACTGGGAGTCTTTACAACTGATTTATCTTTGCTGTTGTTACTTCTCTTGCCTGATAACATCACCTGCATTCTTCTGTTCCCTTCTGTTCTCATTACTGAGACCTGTTCCAGGGCAAGCCCTGTGGCCAGGCTTAGACCACAAAATGGCTTAGGCCACAAATGTCTTCTCTTATATCAAGAAAGCCATGCTTTCTCTGGGGACCCCTACTCTGTCTGCTTACATTAGCAAAATGTCCATTCAGAAAATCCATGATTTGTTCCCGGGTTTTGGCAGCTTGAAAGAAAAAAACCCATGAGTTTGCAGATTGGCCATTTGATAAATTGATCACTTAGCTACTTGTCTGGCAGAAAATTGCTTCTCTTTGTTTTGAAGATGGGTCTTCCAGGAGGTAGATTTAAACCATAACACAGGGTGGAGAAGACTCTGGGCTCTCCTCGCTGCAGTGCACCCTAAGTGCTGTAAAGAAACAATGCTGTTAAGACCTGATTTTGCCAACATGTCATGCCACAGTTTCTTGGGCTTTCAAAGCCTACATTGTGTAGCACATGGTTCCCGTTGTGGGGGGTGTGTGGTATCCTCAACTGAGCTGCCAGGCAAGTGATGAAGGCAGGCTGACCTGAATCACTGTGGTCTTGAATAAGTGTCATGGGCTTCATTGCCCTGCTGTGTCTCTGAACATTCTATGCCCTTTTTTTGGCTCCTGGTCTTGAAACATTCTTGATGCGCCATCATCTTGGTGCCCCAATGGTCTTTGTCCTCCATCCTGGGTGGCAGGGGCAGATCTTCTGCTCTGAGCCTCACCCTAATTCCCTGCTAAGATGGAGGCCACATTTGTGACCAAAGTGACCACCTGTTTTCAGTCCCCATCTGTTAATTTAATAAGTATTTTTGAGCACTTCTTGGGCCAGTCTTTGGGGCAGCCATTAGGAAACAATGGAGAACAAGACAGACATGGCTTCAACCCTGTGGAGCTACTTTAGGGTTGCAAGTGACAGAAACCCGCTTTGTGAGTGGCTCCTGGGATGTTTTGTGGAATCCAATAATGCTTTGGATGACTTGGCCGCAGAAAGGCTTGAGCCAAGTCAGCCATAGCAATCTCAACAACCTGAATCCAGGGAAATTTCACGAGGACGCTGCCATTGACCTATGTGGATTATTCCTATTCCTAGTCTCTCAACATTGGTTCCAAAGCTGAGGGTAAAGAACTGTCTTATGTTCACCTTCGCTGCAGTCAACTCTCAAGGGAGGTGGGGCCAGTTGGCACACATGGCACAAACACAGCTGGAGGACCAGCAGTTCTCAGAGGAACAGGAATCATGAGCCGGGCAGAAACTTCCAAAAAAGTATTAATTACAAGGATCTTGAAGTCCAGCGGGGGAAATAAGCTTCTAAGGAACTAATTTCATTTAATCCAGCCTCATATATGCTTAACAGAGTGAAGCCTAGAGGTGGGTGGGTGTCAGGCATGCCTTCACTTAGGAGGTGACATTCCTACTGGTTTTTGTTTTTAAATCAAGTTTATTACATTCAATATATACAGTAATATGGACCCATTTCAAACGTAGAGTTCAGTGAGTTTTGACAAATGTGTATACCACGTCCTCACCATCTCAATCAAGATATAGAACATTTTAATCACTTCAGAAAGTTTCTCGTGCCTCTTTGCAGACAACAGTCCCCTTTGTGCTCCAAGTATCCACTGATGTGACTTCTATCACTATAGATTAGTTTTGCTGATTCTAGAACTTTCCATAAGTGGAGTCATATAGTATGTACTCTTTTTCCGTCAACATTTTGTCTGAGATTCACCCACATTTCAACTGGGTTTTTAAGATGAAGAGGAAGAAAGGAAATTGCAGGGATGGAGATATAAAAGAGCAGAATGGGCGGAGTGTAGCTTCAAACATCAGAATGAGTCTGTTGTGACCCAAGCCTGCAGTCCGGGACCAGTGGCAGCAGGGGAGCTTGATAAAGAGCTGACAATGTTAAATTCTACCTGAGCCAGGCACTCTTGAAAACCATGATGGTTATGAAATCCCCCGACTCTTTTGTGCTCCGGACATGGTTTACCAAAACATTGGTTATTCAAATGTTGAGCTTCTTTCATTTCCCAGTCCCCTTACTTTTGACGCACCCTCAGCCTGAGCCAGCATACAACCCCTCCTGAGAATAGGCCGCCTCAAGGTAAATCATTCTCTAATTTACAACAGTCCATCAGGCCACCCTTTCTTTCCGCTTTTCCACACCTAGTTCTTCCTGGCTTTCTTCACTCTTCCCAGGAAGGAAAAACTCTTTGCATAACCCTTGAGACTCTTGCAGATCTTTTGGTAGGAGTGGTCTCCCCATTGCTATAGTCTCTCCTCTTCCTCCTCCCCCACCATTTGCAATATTCCTTTTGAATAAAATATCTCCGTACTAAGTCTGGATTTGTTTTCCTATTTGGCAAACAGGCTTCTATTAGAATCCTAGCCCAAAAGCTCTTGAACTTTCAGCAAGCCACTAACTTTTGCTAGCCTCTGTTCTTTCATAGGAAAATGAGGATAATATTAACATTTACCTTGTAGGACCTTTGTGGCAATTAGAGATGGGAAACCATGAAAACATGGTAGATACTCAATATATAGTAGTCTAGAGAGCTACATCAGAGTCATGGCTTTATGTCAGATTAAGTTTATACTCACTATTGTGTCTTCAACACTTGGCCAATACTTGCATATAGTATATACTCAATAAACAATTCACAGTGAATGGCTATCCCATTGATAGAGGGGAGCTATGAGAATAGTGCCTGATTTAGGAAGAGCAGATTGGTCACTGCCAACTGTCATCAGCCTCCAGGTATTAAAAAGGCCTAGCTGTTCACACCTGCCTCCCTAATGGTCCCTGTGATACATTTGATGCTGCCTCTCCTGGAAAATGGAAATGATAATTCCTGTCATCCTCAAATTAAAGACAGAACGAAAAGCGATTTTTTTTTAAAGCCTGACGGGCATATACATTCCCATAGCTGATAAGATGAAGTCTCCAGATTATCTCTCACAAGAATGCCTGGCCCACCTCCTGATGCCCCGCCTTCCCCACGTCTCAAGTCCCTCCCACTCAGCCGGGTGCTAGGGGCTCCTTTACCCGGCTTGTCTGCGGCTCCGTGTGCGCACGCGCGCGGCCGCCTCCGGGCAGGCGGGGGCGGGGCCCATTGCGTCATCCGGGCGCGCGCTGCAGACAGCGCCGTGGTTGCCGGAAGTTGGGCGGCGGTAAGTGAGCCGCGCTGGTGAGGGAGGAGTGGGGTCCTGCGAGGTCGGTTTTGGACGCCCGGGGAGAAGGGGAGAGCTCGGCGATGAGGGCGAGGGTCGCGGCGCGTCTGAAGGTCCTCCTCCAGGAAGGGGCTCTCCCTCCTGTAGGGAGTCACAGACTCCGGCTCTTGCCTTCTTGTCTCCAGTCACGTCCCCTCAGGCTAGTTCAGCCCGGGGTCTCCTGACTAGGTCGCTCCTGCTAGTTAACTTGTCAGTCCCTCCTGTCCTCTGGCAGCGAGTGCTCAGAATCTCCACGGGAGATAGGACGCCTGGGCGCGCATCCTGGCTTTGCCCAGTTTTGCTGTGTTGCTGGCGCGTCGCTGCCCTTGCTGAACCTCTCTTCTTCCTTCATCTGTCAAAGAGGAATGAGTATAAGGTCATTTGTGAAGCGAGGAGGCTAAACTATGTCACTTCCAAAGGCTTTTCTGAACTGAGGTTCTCGATGCCTTGGTTTGGTCCAGGGGTTACAAACTTTAATGTTTAGTCAGTCAGGTAAGGTAAATGGAGGTGTGAGAAAATTTTGGTGTCCGAAATAGAGTCGAACTTTTATTTTTACTGAGTTGAGTTTTATGAACACAATACTAACAAAATGGTGTTGGAGAAATGAAACCAAGACTCCAGTGTGTGTGCACATACGCAATGTCTAAATTTTTTAAATTTTTCTTATTTTTGCAATGTCTTTTAAGTTTGAACGCTGGTGACTAATAAAAAATTTTTTAAACATTGGCAACTAATTTAATAAAGTATATTTTTAAAACTGCAACAGATACCAGACATATCTGAGGTTGCAAGTTTCAGACATCTGGGTCCCAGACTCCCTTTGCCTTTGAATTCTTGGGTTTCTTCTATGACACCCCTGACCACTGGTTAAATTTCTCGAGTGGCAGAAAGCTCACTACTTCTAGTTATTCCTGTTTGGTCTTCTCCAGCTCTGACTCTTAAAATGTCTTATGTTAACTGAAAACTATTACCTGGTAATCTGAGCTCATTGTCGTTCCTTCAGGCTCTTGGAATCTCTCTTCCACTTAATTTTCCTGCACGTGTTTGAAAGGTGCTGGTCAGTCTTCCTCTTCCCACCTTTCTTCTCCAGGCTAAGCACATTTCATTTATTTACCCAGAGTAAAATGTGCAATGACCAAGAGTTTTGTCTTGTTTTATTTACAGTTATATTCCCAGTATATAGAAGAGTGCCTAGCATGTGTATGTTCAATAAATATTTATTGAGTGAATGAATAAAACTAGCACTCGATTGCCTGATGTGCCAGGCCTTATTGTAAGCACTGGTTGGGTAGTGACAAAATAAGACAGAAAAGAACCCTGTTTCATGGAGCCTACTTGATGGTTGTGGTGCTGGTGCCAGCAGTGGTGGTGATTGTCAGTGATACGATGTTGTCAATAATACAGTACTTTTAGTGGGTAGCAGGTGTTTCAGATCCTGATGGATGCTACAAAAAAAGACAGGGTAATAGGATGGAGCGTAATAGGTGGAAAACAGATTGAGCTATTTTAAAAGCCAGCTGGTCAAGGATGACTTTCTGAGGACATGACATTTGCACAAACACCTTAAAAGCCAGACTTGTGAAGGCTCATCTTGCCTTATTGTTCCCTCATCTCCTAACTCTGTGCTCTTGTCTTGTCAAGCTGCTTATAGGTTGTGTCTTACCTGGATCCCTTTGCTTTCGCTGCCTAGAATGTCTTCTTTTCCTCTTCTGTTTTTTTCTGGCCAACTCCTCTCTGTCCCTCATGTGACATGATTTTGAAACCCTTTAAGGAGCTGAGTACAGACAGGGCTGTCATTCAACCACAGGTCCTTTTACTGTACCACCGCCAGCTTCCTATAATAGAGAATAAGCACAAATATGAATTGAGCTTTTGTGGCATGCCCAGCACTGCTCTGCAAGCTGGAAATACCAAAATGAGTGAGATACACATCCCTGTCCTCAAGGAGTTAATTTTTTTTTTCAGTCAAGGAGAGAAACCACAGCACTATGGCATGAAGCTGCTGTAGAGGCTTGCTGGAGGAGGGCTTGGGTGCTCATAAGTCAGGCTGAGGCATCAGTAGGCTTCTGTGAGGAGCTGTTGCTTCATCCAAGTCCTAAAGGATGAGCAGGATTCATCAGGTGAAGGTGGAGGTGGGATGATACTGCAGACATTGGGAGCAGCTTGAACAAAAGTGACGATGAATGACTTGCATGTAGTTCCCCCAAACTAGAGTGCTAAGTTGTAGAAGAGGTGATTCTGGAAAGCCAGGTTGTGTGGATCTTGTGTGCTACAGCATGTGAGGAACACAGACTCTGGGATCTGAGATACTTGTGGGCCATCACTGGCTTTGCGCCTGAGCTAGTTTTGTGACCCTGGGTGAGTCACTTCATCTCTAAGCTTCAGTTTCCTCTTCTATAAAAACAGCAAACAGACGCCTACCTCCAAGGATTGTTATGAGAATGGAGTGCGATGATATGTTACCCGTTTATCACCAGTAGATAGTAAACAATAAACTGTAGCAGTTAATATTACCATGTTAAGAAGCTTTATTTTGAAAGCTGGGGGTGGAGAGTGGACCACTTTTTTAAGCAGGAGTGTAATATGGTCTCATCTGTTTTAAGTTACCCAGGCGGCATTGTACTGATTACAGTGGACAGGGCAGGATCTGCAGGGAGACCAGTCAGGGCACTATTGCTGTGGTCCATGTGACAAAGGAGAGAGGCCTGAACCAAGGTAGGGGCTGTGGGGATGAAGACGGGTGGGTGGGTTTGAAAGACAAGGAAAGTGGGATGTACTGGACTATAACTGATTGGATGATATGGGGAGGGCAGAAGTCAGGATATTGAGGGTGGGGTGGGGGAATGAATCCTCTGTGTGGAAATGAGTAATAAGTTATTTGATCAGGAGTCCCTGATCAGTTATCCCTGACGTCAGAGATTTTATTTGAAACTCTCAATGGCCTCTTGACTTCGCTAAGTTGCAGACATCAGTTAAGGGTCCTCAACATCTGTCGTTACAGACTTATCTCCAACTGACCTATTGCTTTGCCTTTTGTTCTAATTCTGTGAAAAAATGGTGTTTGTTCAAAGGCTGATTCCTTTGCTTATGCTGAGGTTCCGTCTCCTTTTCCTCAGGACCTGGTTCCATCATTTGTCCCATTTCTTCCCTATTAACTAGCCCCTCTCATGAAAATAGTCTCTGTTTACTCTCATTTTGGGAAAAAAACCAAACACCCTCCCATTAACCTCTGCTGCACCCTGTCATGCCTCGTCTTGCAATAAATTGCCACTTCCACTTCCAGAAGTCATCATTCGCTGAAATCCTGAATCACGCCTCCCCCAAAACTGCTCTCCTCAGAGTCAGCAGACCTCAGTGTGGCTAGAACCCCAACCTCTTTGCCAGCCTTACCTTTTGCGTTCTCAGCCCATCTGACGTCTCTGATATTCCTCTGCTTGTGAAAACCACTCTGGATTAAGTGCTTGGAAAACAATGATAAATGGAGGAAAATGAGAAACTGACACAGTTCCTTTCTCAAAGAGCTTTCATTCTAGTAGAGTCAGGGAAGACCTCCCTCTAGTGATGGTTGGGCTGAGATTTGAGGGAAGAAGAGGAATTAAGTAAATGGTGGTCATGCAGATGGACAAGGGCATTTTAAGCTGATGCCGAGGCCGTGGGGTGTTACTAGAATTGGAGACGTGGAACTCAGACAGCTTCCTCCTTTTGCCTGGAATGTCCCCACTCCCACTGGTAGCCTTCCTCATCCAGTCCCCTCTCCCAGCCATCAGGAGGACATTTGGAAGTGTGTGGAGCGGTTTTATTTTGTGACATGACTACAGGGCGTTACTGCATGTGAGAGGGTACCAGGGATGCAGTGTGGGGGGCTAGCGCTGCATGGAAAAGAACTGTCCCTCCACAACCTGTAAAATAGTGTTCCTTGAGAATCCACTGCCAGTTCTTTTAAAAACCTTGGCTCAGGGATTTCTGTGGGAAACATCCCTGCCTCTTCAGTCTAATTTCAGTGTCCCTCTTTCCTCCCGTGACGCCCTGTACAAACGCCACACCGTACTGTGCTTCTCTACCTACAACTGGCTATACTGCCATTCTTGGTCTGTCTTGCCCTCAAAACTGTTAACTCCTTAAAGCCAGGGACCGTGGCTTTTTGCCATTAAGTCCTGAAATACAGCATAGGGACCAGTGCGTCATAGAAGTAATGGAATGGAAACCTCAGTGCTTCTGGCGTGTGTTTCGTTGGTAGCATTAGTTTTCATTTTGAGTGCCTGCTGTGTGCCAGATACGTGCATTTTCTAACTGAATCCTCTCAATAATTCTGCGCCACCGGTGGTGTCCCATCTTACAGGGGAGGAAACAGGCTCAGAGAAGGTAAATGACTTGCCCAAGATTGTGTGTCTGGAAGTAGCAGAGGTGGGATTTGAACTCAACTCTCTCTGGCTCATGAAGCTCTGCCCTTTTGTATTGTACTGGCTCCAGTTTATCAGACTGCATTGTTGTCCCATTGTTTTGTTTGTTTGTTTGTTTTTTGGACTGAGCTTTAAGGCCCTATATTTACCTCTGTGAAAATTTTAATCTTGTTAAATAGGCCTGTCATTCCAGGTAGTCAGAGTCTTTTATTCTGAATTTCTGTTATCCATCACATTGCCTGTTCCCTCCTGCTTTGTGTAGAATTTATAAGCAAACCTGTATCGTTATTCAAGTCACTGGTGAAATGTGGTTATAACAATATCTTACTGAATATGTTTGTTTATGTGTCAGTTTCCCTGCTGTAACAAGGTTCAGTACACATGAAATATTTAGTAAGTATTGATGAATATACATTCATGTAGACAAATAAAATAAAAATAAATTGGATCAGACCCAAGACTGAGCCAAAGACATCCCTGTTAGCTCCTTTTTATTAACATCGGTTCATTCCTTAACCAATATCCTTTGAATACAGTTATTTTACCAGTTCTTAAATCCTAGTAATTATGTCAGGGTCCAATTCCTGCATCTTCATCTAGGATATCTGGAGAAGCATTGTCAGAGACCTTGCTGAGGCCCACGTAACCTAGCTCCTTTGTCTGTGGTTCTTCTGTGATCAAGGCAGGAACGAAATAACTGTCACAACTTGTTTTTGGAGAAACCGTAGTGGCCTTTTGTGATTACTTAGGGCTGTTGCATACAGTTGTGCAAGTTGTACACTGCTGAAGAGGGCACGTCTGAGAAGGTCCCATTCAGATCATAGGCGTTGTGGGTATATTTGTGTAAGGACAGTTTTTTAGCAGACAAGGGTAAAGATGTCTTGAGCTAACTTTTACTCAGTGTGTTGGAGCAGTCTTCTCAGAAAAGGAGGTAAACTGTCTTGAGGATGGGGTGCAATTTTCTAATTGCACAGAGGTGCCGTGTGGACTAGAAAGGACTACATGACACCTTTCTTGGGAGCAAATTCTCTCTCCAGTGGGCTACCGAATCCATCTGTATTCTCCTCTTTGGAAATCAAATATTTTGAAAATCTGAAATCAAGTGTTTGCTTGGCCCAGTTTTTCAGCACCTCTCTCATCTCCTGGGATTCCTTAAAGATCACCAGAAGTGAAAACCACAAAGACTCTATTACTCAGAATCAGGCCTTCATAACCCAGCCTGCTTTTAGGAAACCCTTGCAGATTTTAGTCGTTGGTTGACATAAGGTCCCTTCAGTGATTCGGGTGAATCCAGGTGGCTGCCCCTCATGTACAGAATGGACCAAGGTGACCCTGTTGGTTGGTGACATAACAGAAGGACTCCAGAGTGGGCATGCTGTTCTCCATCTTCTTGGTATGATCTCTCTCTCCTCTTGCCCAGAATTCCTCAGCGTTCACTCTTGCTCTCTCACAGGCCCCACGACGCTGGTTCCCAGTGCATCCATTCTCAAAAACTGAGGCGGAATGAGAGAGCAGATTATTGGTGAAGGTCAAGGTTATTGTAGCAGAAGGAAAATGAAATAAAACGAAAGACAACCAACTCCCAGCAGTAACCAGTGAGAATGAAGGTTACAGTCTGAACACTCTGGAGGGGGCTGCCGGTTCCCTGGTTGACCTCCCGAGGCAGCAAGGAGTGTGGATTCCATAGGGGCCGAGGCGGCCACGGGATGAGGAGTCACCTTGCCCCTAAGAGGGATTATCCTGACTGCTCATCTCATCAGCTGTTACCTCCTAACGTCACGGTCACTAAAAAAGCCATTTGGGGTGACTTGGTGTCTGGCAGAGATGTCAGTTTGGCTCAGGGGCATCTTGCCTCTAATGTACTTTTTAAAAGAAACTGAGGCTCTGTACCCAGCTGGTTCCCCTGTAGGAGTCCTGAGTTTTCATTTTCTGGTAAAGTCGCATCTTTCGTCTTTCCCGTCTGTTTGGAAGGAAAGGCTGTATAAAGCTCCCTCTTTCGCAGCCTTGCAAATTATTTCCCAAACTCATGAAGCTGCAGAAGCATCACCAGCCTACAAACACGCATCGGCTCCATGTGCCCCCCAGCCCTCTGCCCACTCCCGCGGTCTCCACCTCCTTTGTACCCGTCAGCCGCTGAGAACATGTTCTTGTTGTCAGCGGAACTTGGTCATGTGGTCTGGTGCTTATTTTAATGACTGCCAGAGCTCACAGCCCCGCAGCTGGGAAAATGAGAACAGAAGCCCGCTCTCTGTGCTCCATTTTGGCCCCGAGATGGTACTTCAGGGCCAGATTGTGGTTATTTCAGCAATTCTGTTAAGTGAACGGCCCCTCATGGCCTCGGAGAAATTGAACACTCCTAACCCTTTCGCACTTGCTCCCCTGGACCTCCCCTGGGTGATCTAGAGCAGGAGACCATCCGTTTTGTTTTATTTAAACTTCTCCTGGGTGTGCAGTGCTCCTAAGAGGGAGGTGAGACTTCAATGAGGCCTGCTCGAGGCGGAGAAAGTTTTCTTAGCACGGGAAAGGGCAGCCACATTCCTCAGGCCCCGATGGACGATGGGGAGGCAGGGTAACAAGAGACAGTAGTACCTGCCAGGTATTGACTGCTGACTGCAAGCCAGGCACCGAATGGGCGCATCACACACTTTCTTATTCAGCCGTCCCAACCTTGTGGGTTGGGTATAGTTATCCTCATCTTATGGATTGAGGCACAGAGGATGAAGTTACCTGCCCAGTGCTACTCAGCCAGTGAGTGGAGGAGCTGGAACTCATACGTGGGTTTATCTGACTGAGGACCAGTGTCCCAGCCACCTTAGCTTTTAGCATCCTTTCTCTGAACTGTTAAAAACTCCCCTGCCCTCCCAAAGCAAACAAGCAAAACCCCAGAAACACATGTGAAAAATAACAGTGAGAGATTTGTAGGGTAGTCAGGCTGGTCTGTTTTTCTTTTCTCCCCTCAAGGGTCTAGTTTCCCTGAAGACAGGTTTGTTTGTTTTCTAATCTCTATGATTGTCACTTGTTTTCTACCAATTTTACTTCTTCATTCCCCAAAATCCTACACTGACTTGGTATTTGCTGCGTCCAATCCTGTCCGCCCCCCGCAGAGGGAGAGCTGTTGGGCTGACTCACTCCAGGAAGCACTTATGCTGCAATTAATTTTATGAGCATCAAAGCCAAAATACTTTCATCTTCAGCATCTTTAATAACAAAATGCCAGAAAATTTATGGAAATGATATTTCATTTCCACTCCTTGTTTAGAGCAATGAATTTCTTCTCAACAAAGCTAGATTTAAATAGGTCATCTGTTAACTGTC